GCCGCTGTGCAAAGTTGTAATGTCCTAGTACCATCTACATTTTTTCATGCTTTTACTGTTAGAAATGCTTGCAAAACCTAGGGCTGCAGGCTGTAGCAAACTGGCACAGTACCACAACATTTGGCGTTGCATAGATCACGTACAAGTATTGTTCAATGGATTACAGTCATCGTTATAATAACTGTAGCTGCTGTTGATCTCTTAACCTTTCACATATGGTGATTCTATGAAACATATTAATTTATGACGATAAAAGTGTAATTTACTTGTATGAATTTGTTGTGTGTTTCTTTATTCTAGCCACGTAGGAGAAGCATTATTGCATAATTAGACGCAGAAATAACCTCATATTCGGCATCTCGATGATAATAAGGTTTACTATAGGCCTATCCTGAATGCAAGCTATGTTTGATTTGTTACACGCGCATGGGCTCTTTTGTCTAACAATGTCTTTTCGTATTATTTATATTTATCAATTTTTCGCATGACTGATTGATTTTACGGAAATACAGAGTTAACGAAATGAGATGTATTTAATGCTTTAGCTGTTATTTGTGCGTTAATGAATTTAATCATTGTCATCCCCTTGTAAAAATGAGAGAACTGATCTAGGGCCGCTTAATTTGATTGATTGTTTTACGTTTTAATGCATTTGTTATCTGACATTGCACACATTAAAAACATTTTCGACAAAGATAAATTTGCAACCCATAAATAGGTTAATACAAAGACGAAAGGCAGAGTCAGTTGAAATGGCTAACTGATGCAAATAAAAACCATTGATGCATATCAAGTATCAAGGTAAAATTCCATCATAGTAATTAAAAATCAAAATTTCAAGATAAGAAATTGAAGTTTTAAATGCTAGCTTTTAAAACTTTTTGCACTCGTTATTAAATAATCCATTGATATTTTAATTTTGATTTAAGTCTTTTGAATGTCTCAGGTACACGTATTAATATTTGGCAGTTTATATTCATTTTAGAAGGTTATACATGCTATGATTAGGGCCATTACTTATTTTTGTGGACAACTTTTTGCGTGTATTGAACCGTGTCACGTTTCAGGCGTTATAGTAAATAAATTTACTTACTTGCATTTATATGTGATTTTTATCTACTTGCATTTTCTGTGTGAGGTCATTAGAGGTATAGACTCAAAGAAGAGTCAATTAAGTTCGTTTATCTTCGGTATATAGAGCAACGGACTCAGGCACCGTCCTTGAGGTACCGCACTATTGGTGAATTTTCCCTTTTTACTTGATTTAACCAAGTTGTACAGGTGTATATACTTTATTGCCTCCTTTTGGTTAGGCAGGCAGAAATACAGGAAACAACCGCTTCAAGCAACCCCGAAGGCCTGAAATTTGTTTAAAAGATTGCTTAATTAATTGGAATGAAATCTACTTTGCATTCCCCATGAAAAAACCATATGACTAATTAGTTATGTCCTTAAATCAGGCAAGATCTGTAATGGAACCTAGGCCCAACGTCGACCACACTCGTTGCTTTGATAATTGTGGTTCCCAATCATCATTAAACGGCACTGAATTACCTTTGTAACCGGCGAAAATTTTATTTGCATTATTTATTTGCACTTTCAAAAACGATTGATTTGATGGAAGAACAAATTGAAAGATATGACAAATTTTGAATGTGCAATTGATTGTACTTAAAAGAGTGCTCTCCTGTTTTGATCCCTTTTGGGAAAAATAAGATACTTGAGACCACTTAAGTAGATTGGTTACATGTGCATCTCGTTTTAATACATTTGTTATCGTGACATTGCCGAATGAATATTCCAGTCCCATTGGCTTACAGTGCCGCACAGTACTATAGCATTTACAGGGTTAAAGTTACACTATAGTTACTTGGCAAATTTTTTCTGAAGAGAACCCTGTACTTCTGTGAAAGTCTGTTAAGAGGCTACCATGTTTCCTCAAGTGCTACCAGCCCGCTCCCCCCCTACGCACACAAACACACAAATAAGAAAAAAAAAAGACTGGAGCATTTAATTAACACGTTATCTCATATTCTACCTACATGTTTATTTTTATTTTGGCAACCTTCCATTTAATGTCCCTATTTCACACACACCACGAATCCCACGAATCGCCGGGAATTGACAAATTTCAGGATTCGTGGCTGAATCGTAATCAGTTCGTGATTGATCAAGAATTGCAAGACCTGACTACGAATATACGAATCTGTTAAGAACTTAACGAACTGATTACGATTCAACCATCAATCCTGAAATTTGTCAATTCCTGGCGATTCATGGGATTCGTGGTCTGTGTGAAGATAAAAGTGTTATTCATTTGTATGAATTTGTTGTGTGTTTCTTTATTCTGGCCACGTTGGAGAAGCATAATTGCATAATTAAATGCAGGGAAAACTTCATATTCGGCATCTGGATGATAATAAAGGTCTACAATATCTTTTTTGAATGACTGATTGATTTTACGGAAATACAGAGTTAAACTTAATGAGACATACAGTATGCACTAGCTGTTATTTGTGCGTTAATTAATTTAATTATTGTCATCCCCTTGTAAAAATGGAAGAACTGATCTAGAACCACTTAATTTGATTGATTGCATCATGTTTTAATACATTTGTTATCCGACATTACCGTATGAACGCCCCAGTCATATTGATTTACAATGTCCCACGGCCGTATCCTACTTTCAGGTTATAAATACAGAGTTAGAGGTACATATCAACTTTTTCTAGAGACAACCCAGTACTTCTGTGAAAGCCTGTGAAGTCTGTCTTCAACTACTGCCCCCCCCCCCCAACAAAAAAATATATTTAATGCATAATAATGGCTCATTGTTATCAAGCCTTCCTATTCAGTGATAAACTTAACAACATTTATGTTCTTTACAATGATCATAATACATTGTATACTTATTTCATAGAAATAGAGAGTGACTACGTAACTATCCAACACGCGTCCGCGTTGCACACATTTAAAACATTTTTGACAAAGTTAGTTAATTTTGCAACCCATAAGTAGTTGTAAAAATACAAGGACTAATAGCGGAGTCGGTTGAAATTATTAACTGATGAAAATAAACCACTGATGCAAATCAAGAATTAAGATAAAATTCCATTATAGTAATTAAAATCCAAAATTTCAGAAAAAAAACAAAAAACAAACAAAATAATAATAATAATAATTTGTTAAATGCTAGCTTATTTACCCTAGACCATGCAGTCACATGTAAGGTCGAAAATTTCTTAGAGCTTGCTGTCATGCTCGTTGGCTTATTTGTGTAAGGATCTCAGATACAGTTGTATCGTCTCTGTACTAGAGACACAAGACTTACTGGGTGCTAAATTAAGTTGGTGAATTTACTTGATTTAACCAAGTTGTACAGGTGTATATACTTTATTGCCTCCTTTCGGTGAGACAGGCAGAAATACAGGAAACAACCGCTTCAAGCAACCCCGAAGGCCTGAAATTTGTTTAAAAGATTGCTTAATTAATTGGAATAAATCTATTTTGCATTCCCCATAAAAACGTCATATGACTAATTAGTCGGGACCTTAAATCAGGTAAGATATATGCTGGAACCTAGGCCCCACGTCGCCCACACTCGTTGCTTTGATAATTGTGGTTCCCAATCATCATTAAACGGCATCTGATAAACCTTTGTAACTGGCAAAACTTTTATTTGCATCATTTATTTGCACTTTCAAAAATGATTGATTTTACGGTAGAACAAATTGAAAGAAATGGCAAATTTTGAATATGCAATTAATTGTGCTTAAACGAATGCCCGCCTGTTTTGATCCCTTTGGGAAAAAAGAGATAGCTAAGCTGAGACCACCTTAGTTGATTGGTGACATGAAAATCATGTTTTAATAAATTTGTTATCAATCATTACTGAATGAACGTTTCAGTCCCATTGGCTTACAGTGCCGCATAGTCCTATCGCAGAGTCCTATAGGGTACACTATAGTTATATCGCAAACTTTTTTCTGATGAGAGATATTTAATAATGCTTTCATAAATGTTTCCATAAAACTTTGAATGAAATTATTGTAAATATATAATTAACATCGTTTTTATCGTACAACACATTTAAGGCATATAAGGTTTATCAAACAGAAATCTCGGGTCAATTTTCAGAATGTACCAAAATCGTCTTTTTGAAATCCGGATACCGCCAAGAAATACGTAATTTTAATTTTTTAATATTCCCTTCCACTAGACAAAGCGTCCTCCACTTCCTCCAGGCAATGTGTTAGTTGAGCTTTATCATATTCCACTTCCACCAGGCAATGTGTTAGTTGAGCATTATCATATTCCACTTCCACCAGGCAAAATGCTAGTTGCGTTTAATCGTTCTCTACTTCAACGTGTCACTGTGCTAGATGAGCTCCATTTTTACGAGGCAGTGTGTCACAGGTGGTGACTCTCAAGCAAACAACAAGGAAAACAGCCCAAAAGCAATTATGCTCCAAGTGAAAGGAGCATTTTAGTTCAACTCTGAATTTACAGAAACAAAGGATTGATATGGAAAAATTGCTTTAGTTGCTTAGTCGCTTAATTTAATTGAATCCCTGCACAAGCAAAATTGTAACCAAGTCCAGGTCAAAAACCTTGGGAAAGGCTAAATTATAGACTCAGCAGCGGCAGCCACAGCAACATGACCCTCAAAATGAGCAAAAGCATTCAGACCCAGACACTTGCGAATAATTGTGTCAATCCCATCATATGGATTAATCTGAAGCTAGTTGTGATCTGATGCTTTAGTCTGCCAGGTACAGGGGTTCATTGCTACCAATAGGGTGAGCAAGGTTCATCGGTACCATGTGAAAGTTAATTTAGTTTAACAGTTAATGGTAAATAGGGGCCATTGATTAAAAAGCTTTGACCAAATGATATCTGGTTCTACAATTTTTATAGACTTTATTTAATGGAGTAAGATAAACAAATATTGAAGACCGCTATTCACAGTAAAATGTGCCAAATTTTTTCAAGTCGTCAGTAAAAAGCATATCTCGTTGTCCGTTGGGAAAATGTGTACCTTCTAACCAATGGGAAACCTATATTGCCACTTATAAGGTAATTTGACCTTGACATTGGTGTTTTTGGAGTGATTGGCTTGTGTGCTTAGCAGTACTCACTGGTTCTCTCCTAACTTTGCAGAAAAATTGTCAGAAAGTTTCATTTTGTCCAAGTGCTTGGTGCAATTCAATACATTGTTTTCTGTTGCTGATAGAAAAGTATATTGTGATTCCATAATACATGTAGGATGACATGTCTGATATAATATTTAGATCACGAGTGAAAAAATAATTTATTTAATGCTTAATGTACTGTCGGTAGGGTGTATTTTCCTCGTTTTTTAAACATTCAGTGACAAGCAAACTAAAGTCGCTCAAAAACAATTAGCTGATCAATACAAAATATTATCACATCTTTTACCTAAGGGCTGTGCAACACTAAAATGGTGCTGGAGAGTTCGTTCCGTAATGTCGGATAACAAATGTATTAAAACATGACATAATCAATCACCTTAATGGTCTTTACTTAGTTCTCTTATTTTACCAAGGGGATATTAACAAGTGAAATCCATTAAAGCACAAATTACTGTACACACAAAGCATCCAATTTCATTTAACTTTGTGTTCCCGTAAAATCGATCATCTTTAGACATATAAGGCAGTAACATAAATATCAATTCCGCGACCAACACATCAATTCAATGTGTAACAAAAGTAATCATATTCTGTTTGAAGTTGGAATATTTTGAGAATGGAACAACTGCGTTTTTCTAGTTAAAATAATATAAATAAAATAATAATATAAATAAAATAATAAAATGAACATACGTTTTACCCAACTGATAAGCAGATAAAACATTAAGGTCCAATAATTCATTTAAATCACGATAAGACAAAATTTTATGTGCTATATATTTATTCAAATACATAGATAAATAAATAAATATAAATAATATAACCAGGTATTATAAGACAACAGAACCCATGTCATTTAACAGATTAAACATAGCCGGCATTAATTGCTTCTACAGCGACTGCTAATGCGATAAAATATAAAATACATAATGCAGGTAATAAAAGCTCTGAGGAAAGCATGAGAAGATATCAAAACACCAAAAACGATAGATAAAAGTAACCATACGGACCCCTTTCAGTGTCAGTACAGTTGTCGTACACCCTCCTTGCTGCTTCCTTGAATAGCAAAGCGTTGGCGGCACAGCCGTCCATGTGATTTAGTTGTGAGAATAAGGAAACACGCAACAAAATTCATTCAAGTTAATAAAACTTAAATCTTCATAAATTGTAACGCCTTATAAATCATCAAATGTGAAAGGGAAAGAGTTCAACACAGGTTCAACTATTTTAAGCCTCGGTCACAACCGGCCGTACGGGCTCTTACGGGCTGTTTGTGTCTAAATTTTGAGCAGAATCTCATGTCCCACGCAAGTCCTTCTTACGTAATTACGAGTTCGCAGACAGCCCGTAAGCACGTACGGAGGATGTTGGACATGTCCAAAAGATTCTACGAATAGCCTGCGGGAGGAGGAAGAAGAAAGAAGAGGAGAACATGAAGCAAAACTGACGTACTGTACGCCGTCAGTACGTCACCACAAACGTGTGAGGCAAGTGTGAAGCAGAACTGACTCAAAAGGGCACTACTTTTGCCGTGCGTTGCATTCCTTTCGTAAGTGGTGAGTGTGTGCCACGTACACAGGAAGCAAGACAAACTCAAGAAATGAGTACAATTTCCACGGCCATCGCTCCTTGCAGTTGAAAGGACATCTCATGTGGCCCTGCGACTCGCAAGGCAGATTTTTCTCTACCTCTGCGACCTCCACGGCTTCCGTAACACCCAAAAATCGCTTGGACGCACGATCCTGAAATTCGTGCGTCCGGTTGTGACCGAGGCTTTAACAAAGACCGCAATCCACCGCAATCCGCGGGAACTGTGCAATGCCAAATGCTGCAGAACCGTACAATCATGAATGATACTACAACCAACAGCCTTGTGGTTTTCATACTTTGCCAAACGTTTTAGCTTGACAAAATTGTAAAGGCTACGAGGCCGTAATATAAGTCTGTACTATTTGGCATCGCCACTGACTGCCTTAACACGGTTGCCGAACGCAGTATACGTGTGCTGCGTAGACAGGATATTTACGTTTGTACTGTCCATGTCTATGATATAAGTGCGCAATGTATCACGATCATTGTGGTAAATAAAAGTGCTGTTAAGTTTAACACTACACACGTGTTGCGCTCTTCTACAAAATGGCGCTTCTTGACTTCCATCTACGAAAGAAATGTTTTTATCCAAGCATTAGGCCTATCCATGTTAATAACTAGTTATTACGCCGTAATTTCATCGTAGCGGCTCGCAGTAGGCACCCAAAGTCACAGTTAATACCTGTAATGGCCACGCATTTCATTTTCTTTGCCATATCAGATGTGCCACCAGCACTGTTGCAACCAGAATAATTTCCAGTTAGGTGAAATCCAGTGCATGTAAGAAACCACCAGCCACCACCTGAAAAAGAGCATACTATGACTAAAACGCACTTGTCGAATATATTCAAGGATAAGGGTTCTTTAAGTGGAGCAAAACTCCACGAAAAAGTAGTGACACTAGCATAATTGATCTGCTTCAAACGATCGCACCTGATTTTATCAAAGCATTAAAGTTCCTGCCACTATAAACTCCCAAATCCCAGGTATTTTCCAAATACATACACTGACTCTCTGTCTCTTCAAAAAAAATATATAAATGACATATGCCATTTCATTACGTAATTAGCTCATATATCCAGAAATGTGAGATATGAAAAAACTTAATATTGATCAATGACGTCATCACTGAACCTAATATGAAAAAATGATCTGATCGCTGTTTTTTTACCAATTATAGATTAGTTAAAAAAGAGACATTATCTATCAGGTGACATCAACGTCGGTTGCAATTTTAAATATTATCTTGGTTGATGCTGACTTTCAGAATACATGCCTCAAATTATATGGAATTGACAGTCATTGACCTTTTGGTTTGATCAAAGCTGGTTTGCAAAAAAAAAAAAAAAAAAAAAAAAAAAAAAAAAAAAAATATATATATATATATATATATATATATATATATATATATATATATATATATATATCAGTTTTAAAATACCCTCTTAGTCAATGAATCCCCATATTGAAATTTCACTCTTTTTATCGGGTAAATTATTAACATTGCCTACCGTGTTGCTTAGCACATGTTTTATTGGTGTTAGGAGAGTAGGTATTAATGTTGTCAGTGGTTCCAAAAGGATGTCCACGAATTTCCTCAAGTCCAGCCGTGCTCGTTGTGTTGTAGGACTCGAGAGTAATGGCGTCAACAGCATACTTCGTGGCTTCGTTCTTAATTCTAAACAGGTTCCATTTGACGTAGTAATATCTGCCGTTGCAGGACAACATATCAACCAGCATGGAGTAATCTCCTTGATTGGTTAACGCATAAAGGGCCTCATTGCCCATCCAGAACTGTAAGCGGGGATCCCCAAAACCATGCTTATATTCAGCCCAGTTTCTGTTAAAGTTCATTGTGTTGTCATATCTTCTCATCACAACGAGCCATCCGTTGTCACAATAAACTTCCTTTGTTCCAAATCCCTTTATTTTGATAGGCAACAGGCCTACACCATCTATGAAAATAGGCAGTAAAGTTACTCATTGCCATGGCGTGTGTGTGTGTGTGTGAGTGTATGCGTTCGATGGCGTTGCTTAGCGATTACGTTTTAAAACATTGCAGACGATGAACAAACAGTATGCAACATTTATAGAGGGTGATTTGAAATTTTCGTGGCAGGTAATTGTCATATAATACACATACTTTTCTCTTTATCTCTAGCTATATATCACAGCAAAACCTGTACTGTTGTGAGTTCTTAATTATCCAACACCATCCACTATGTCATGCCAAAATAAACCAACAGCCCTTATAATCATGAAAATAGAAACGTATGAATACAGATAAGGAAAATAATCAAAATAAAGTTAAGTTATTGCATTTTGGTACATATATACATACATACATACATACATACAAAAATAACGTTACAAACTTACCCAGATCATTGCAATCCATTTCTTCCTGAAATATGGTAGAAAGATTTCAAGAATGTAGAGAAACAATACATATTCAATCAGAAAAAAATCATTTAATTGCTTTGACCTTTCTGACCGTCCTATTAATTTATTCTTTGTTATGTAGGCTACATTGTTTGGAAAATGTAACGGAATGTAACGGCTTGTCCTCTTTGTTGATGATGCTACAGCAATGATTAAATAATAATAATAATAAATAAATAAATAAAATAAAATAAACGTGAAGTACTCACCTTGGCGTCTTGATAATACATCCCACCGTCATGACGTAACAATATGTCAGTGCTGAGAGCTTTCCGGGAATTTAGTTCACAATTGTCTGTAAAAATAAAACTGAAGTTTCTGACAACATATCTACAACGATATTCAATTCAAAATATCACGTTTGATTTGGAAAATCGTCACTATTGCCTAATTAAATTGGGAATGCTTGTAAAATGTAAGTTTTCAGCGCGACTCATCCTGGAGATTTATAGTTTAAAACGCCCCTTTCAATAAACAGAAGAGCTCAAATTTTTTCCATGTTAGTCCTCTGTGTACAGCTCAAGAAACCCTGAGTTTCCAGTCACTCTTGTTAGAAAAATATTACCCAAATTTTACAAAACATCATTAACAATACATATTGTATATGACTCTTATCTTTGTTCCTAGTTTTATAGTAGATCCAGGAACGGCATCCTTTTGTGTGAGAACATTGTGATATGTACCACTTGGAATTAATTCAATTTTATTTTTTGATACTTCAGCATGTGAAATGCACCTTTATAGTTTCAGTGATAAATACTACTATTATGGCTCTCACCTCTGTTCCTAGTTTTATAGTAGTTCCAGGAACGGCATCCTTTTGTTTGAGAACATTGCAATGTACAGCTTATAGCGCTCTCGGCTGTCACCTTCTTAAAAGCAGACAACGGTAAAATGGCGTCTTTGGTTCCTATACCACGTGTGTATTTCACCTTCTGTTGCGTTGTGAGCAGTACAAGCAATGTCGATAACAAAGATGTTTTAAGAAGTATCTGTAGGCCCATGATGAGATATGCGTCACTGGACTGAGCTGTCGTGAAAAATTAATCTTTGAAGGAAGGCGTTAATACTTGCCAACCAACACCGACATCGACACTGTGTTTGGAAAGGGCAAGACGTCTTGGAAAAAGTTTTCAAAGTGTTACCTATTCACAATCTTCCTGATTGTTTTGCAGAAAATGAACGTATAAATTCCTACAACAGCTTACCAGTGTCTAGCGGTGTTTATGCGCAATATAAACTCGTCATACTCCCTAAATAGCGTACATCAAACACTTTTAAAAATTATTGGTTGGATGTAGACACTAGACCGGTAATTTGCCGTTATTGATTGCTCTCATCTGAACTCATTAATATTGAATAAGCCACGAATTTCTAGGTATGAACATATACGTTATAAAATACAGCCATCTCAGGGTTTGTTTCTAATAGCTGGGCTTGGGGTGTTTCAGGGACCATTCCCAGACCCTATCGTACTAACTGTGGATCGATCTATCTCCGAGGGGTTCCTCGTCAAATTGCTTTCAACTTTAGCGGCTAAGATGTCTGTCACGCCTACTGAACCTGCTAGGGACTAATTAATTTGTGTCCGTCTCTGACGATTGTAAATCAGTAGTAAAAGTAGGTAACAAATGTTCTTTTGACACAAATTAATATCTGATGATACAGTCAATCTGACTTCTCCAATGACGGAGAACTCTTGCCCCCCCCCATCCCATCAGTGTCGAACGTACGGCACAAGAAGCTGTTGTTTTCTTATAAGCCCCCGTGTTAAACTTCATGGGTGAAAGTTGTAAAAATAAAAATAATCCAATTTCTCATGTCACTCAGGCTTTAAGAACAAATATCAATATCAAGACAGAAACTCTTGAATTAGGCGTAAGTCTGACAACTCTCACCCATGTAATTTTTACAAAAGTTGGCTGAAAATGCACGATGAAAACTATTGCAATTTTACAGTATTTTATTGATAAATTAAATACCAAGCAGAGTACAAAACGTACAATTAACGTTCACGGATATGGAGTAATGCTACAGCTGTAAAATCAAAGAGTAACCAGCTAAAGCTGGCAAATGTACAGACAACGTTTCCCATTTCAAAAGAGAAACCATGTATATTGAATTATATCACCAGTAATTAAGATCTGCGAGTGACCCAATGATGAAAGGAGACTTTAAATCTTCAAGTTTTAGTCAAAATGGTGTAATGCGCAAAAATGTAAGGCAAGATCAAAATCAATTAAAATAATCAATTGAAATATTAAGAATAGGGTGATAGCTATTTCCAAACTTGACCAACATTTTAGGCCCACGAGTAACACCTGTAGGTTTTACCTGAAACAAAATTACCATCTGATGAATACAGGGTCCAAAAGTCCAAAATTGTTTTTTGAAAAACACTGTGAGTAAAGAGACCATGCCATGTTTTGAATACGACCTGTATTTAAGGGCAATGAGCTTTCACTGTGAGATTTTTAGATGGATGCAGATAGAGGCTGGTGATGGCAATATGCACAGACACTACCATATCTGTACATAAAAACTATGTCCACTAAACCACCCTATTAACCACACACTGACACTAACACCAAGCATGGAGGTGTGCGTCTTTTCGATGTCAACTTAATAAAGTACTTTTTCAGGAAAAAGACACCAATCTCTTCACACTAGCTGTGACGTTATCATTTCCAATCCATTATATCTTTTAAAAAAATACAACTTTTATTTATAATTATGGATGGCTTATGTTCAGATTCATAAATAAATATATCTTTCTTTGCAACTTTAATCAGAAATTACAAATTAATTTTACAATAATTAACAGCATTCACGCAATCTCTCATCTCTGATTACTTGCTTAAATTATTAAACTAATTGCATTGAAAATTTTTCCATTATGTTCATTTCATGTTAAAACAAGAAACAAAAAGAGCTGTTGGCACTGTCTCCTCTGAACACCCATTTCTTTAAGCTGTGTACTAAAAGTCTCCATTTTTCACCATACCGCTACTTAAAGTACCTGAGCCTCTTCTTGGAAGAGAAACATCACCATTCTGAACAGACATAGGCATCCTATACTTGACTTTTGTTTCCATGCTAGTCACTGGATAGTCCTCCTTTGAGATTGTACTTTTGACTGGAAAATTGGGGACAAGTTCAGTACCCTTAATAGGTGGAATCAATTTCCATCCACCACCCCTGCATTCTGGAGGTTTAGAGTTGGCTTCAGATTTTTTAGATAATGGAATATTTTGCTTCTTAAAGGGGAGGTATTCATCGTCAAAATTGTTATAGTAAGCCTTGATGTCAACGCCTTTCTGTCTTTTCTCCTCAATATACTGTCGAAAGCGTTCTTCATCTGAAATACCATATCGTCGCAGATTTAAATAATTTCCATAACCTCCTGCAAAATCCATGCTGACATCATCATTGAACAGCTTTGGTTTGTTGGCAGTGACCATCTTTAAATGAGCAACATATTGTGAGGATCCATTTTTTCTATTTTTACCATTGCCACGCTCACAACGTATGGGTACATTTTCACCCTCCAGTAAATCTCCGGTGCTTTTGACGTGCCGCAATTGACCCCTTCCCGTGACATTGACCTTTGACCCAAGTTCAACCTCTGAGTGACCTTCAGTAGTAACTGGAGGGCAGGTGCGAAGCAGTTGTAGCTTACGGTGCCATGAAATTCTGGCCAAATCGACTGGGTACTCATCAAAAACCTTAAAAACATAAAACAAGATAGAGTAAGTAGCATGTCTTTCAAGATTACTAATTACTACAAGAAGATGCGTGACCTCACTTCTCAAACTGTCAAATATGTGCTGGAAGTATACATTACTCTGGTGACATAGTTTTAGCAAAACAAACAAAACAAAGTAAATGAAAGTGTTACAATATCCTCTATCCTGTGGAGGTAGTTGAAATAAAATAGCACAACCATCTGCAACATGCCACTTCCTCTTTTATTGTAAAAACCAAAAAAATATTAATAATCACTTAAGAATAGACCACATTTTGAATGAAAACATCTACATGAATTTTTCCTATAAATAAATTTTTTGCCACTTCCTTTAATTTAGCAAAATGTAGAATGAGTAAAATGACTGTTTTCCGCAAGCAGATAAAATACTACGAGAATGTGTGGGCAACATGCCATGTTTATCCAAAATCCTAAATTGCTGACTTGTTGTACAGAGGACACATTGTGCTAGATGTGACACCTATCAGGATTCATGTCACAACTAACACAATGTACATGAAAGTCATTGCAGTGTTGTGCTCTACCCTACATAACCCATGCATTGTTATTGTCCTAGGTATCTCATGCTGAGCTAGTAACTGAAATTTGCAGCCCAGGTTTGAAATACAGTGAGTGATGACAATACAAAGTGAAGGGTGCATAAGAAGTCAACATTTACACAGTTTCTACATCTGTATCAGAATAATTCTGATGTGACAGTGACAATGGAAAGAGTTCAGAACATGCAACTAAGAAAAGTGTTTTTTCAAGGTATACATACATAATATTAGCAAATGTTATGATGAAGATCAGAAAGTCTAATAATTGATTATATTATTGTTAAGTATTTCTTACAACATTTTTTAAAATTGAAATTCAAGGACTGCTGAACATTCAATGTTACAAAAAGATGGATATCAAAAATCTCAATTTTCAAAATTAAAAAAAAAAAATATATATATATATATATCCATGGCAAGCAATATGATGGTTACACAGTTGCATTTCTGTTGGTATTCCTATTGTACTTGTAAAACTAACTTCAAAGACAGTTTCATTCGATTATCTGACATGGCATTGTTTATCTACAGCAAAGTAAAATGTGAACCACAATAGTGAAAACAATGATAAAAATTCACAAGAAAAAAACAACTGAGTGAATGTGCATCCACCTCCAACGTAACACTGTTGCTACACCTCTTTGATCTCACCGCTGCCACCACAATAAAGATAAACAACACTGTTAGTTGAGGATGCAGTGATACAGTGCAATGAATTAGTGGAGCAAATATCACAATCATGCTGAAATGGAGGCAATCCATAACAGAAGTGTTAATATATACATATATACATACACAAAAAGCAATCATGACATTACTTCAACTGTGAGGTGCAAGGGGTTGATGTGTGCTGCAATATAAGACAATAAAGCCATGCGGCATCGCTTACAAACCTAGTATTACGGTATACACAGCTAAGTCTGAGTGGAGCTACTTTTTAATAGGCTCATATCTGGTGGCTAAACTGACGTAAGCTCTCCCTGCCGAGTCAAACCACATCTGAAATTGAAGCAATGTTAACAATGGTATAAGCTGCCACTTCAGCATGGTATATATTATGAAAGAAATTGTTGTACTTGTGCTACAGATTATGAAGACATATCACTCTGCAGCAGCTCTACATTTGTTGGCTTTCTTACACACTATAACATAAGTTCATGCTAAATTTGTTCAAAAAATAATATCCACCACAGCATATGGGCAAGCCCAGATAGTATGAACATTTAGTTGTTAATTCCATTTTTATCAAATAATGCTTTGAATATTTTAATTAAAATGCAATTTGTAGCTCTTTTCAGTGCAAAAAAGAATTTTTTGTTCTTTGTATTTTTTACTTAGTAGCTGATTAAAATACAACCCACTGACATGAAATAATGACTGGGATGTCCAATTAAAAACCACTGGTTGCATTCAGCATCATTTCACCTACATTTGTCTTCAGGCTAACTCTAGGAAGCAGGAAGTTTTACTACAATCAACAAACTCACTGTCCTTTCACAGGGAACGTTACACTTTAGTGTTCCACCTGTAGCAGTATGTTTTAAAAACTAACAGTTAAATAGCTCAGCTAAAATGTAAGATAACACTTATTAATAAATATACACATCCACATGAACTGAACACAAGAATTATTTTGAATGATACGTATTTCTTTTGTGTTAAACTGTGTAGTATACTCTACTTTCTGCCAAAGACAACTTGTGTTGTAATGGTGCTGAATGCAACTTTTGGTCAAATTACACCATGCAACCATATAAATCTTCTATAGCTCAGTGCAGGTCAATGTCAAGGACAATGTCAAGGTCAAGGTCCCATGCTGTTAGTATTCACAGAAAGCAAGGAAGAATAAAGTGATATATTGATGCAGAAGTCAAATGAAAGGGATAAATATTAAGTTCATCATAAACAACACTTCATAACTCAAACTAAAAGGTTTAATTTCAAAGTTCAATTAATCATTTTAAATACTTCAGGTATTTCAAGTAATTTGATAAAAATCTCTACCAAAATATCTGACAATGAGTCAAAGTTCTCTTCTCTCTTAAAAGGCCAATTACATCATAATTCTATTCAAGTGAATAATGCAGCACATATTTGCCTTGTTAGAAATAAATAAATAAATAAATAAATTTTATCCAAGTACTTCATTGTTCATCTGTTTCACAAACAGATCATTTTAGAAAGGTCATAACACCATTTTGTATTCCTCATTACATAAAAAATGAAAATCATCATGCACATCATAATTATACTGATTTATTTTAGGCAAAAATAAAAAAATAAATAATATATGTTCATAATTTTGAAAAAAAAAATTTGTGTAGAATAGAGTTATTTTGGCATGCATTTTATACCAATTTATCCAAAATCCTAGAATCTGCGAGCACGGAACCTTTGACTTGGCGACTTGAATTGATACAGCCACTGATAAAGTTTCTAAACAGAAAAATAATCGTAAATCCAGTAAAAATAAGGTGAATTTGTACTTTTTATGCTTGATCAGAGCTTTGACAAATTAAGTTTTTTAACCTTTTATTCAACATGTTAATGTTTAAAATTTAACAAACAAGACACACTATGTTAGATGGCAAAAATGCAATCATTAACTGACAAACCCCCTTCCCCTGAAAATTATAATATCTCTACCATACAAGTGTATATATTCAAGCTGATACAAAACACTCCCCTTTTCTTGGAATATAAGAGACAATCTTCCATACAATATTCTCTACTTTAAACAAATTGCATATAATCTCAAAACAACGTGCTGAAACTCAAGAAGACAAAATATAGAACGTGTGCAGAAAGCAAACAAAGTCAACAGAAATTAACAAATAAAAGTGATATGTGACATAAGACAGATGGGTGTTTGAAAAGGAAACCCTGTGAAAAGGCAAGAAAAAATGGCAGTATACCCCATGGACAATAGAGGGCACTGAGTGCTGTTTGCTTCCCATCTGATTGGCTGGTGCGTCAGTCTTAGAATAGCTGGCACTCTGGGAAGAAGTCTGAGGCATAGGCAAAGATGGTGGCTCGCTCATTACCAACAAATCTGCCAATTTCTGAATTGTGGCAGCATCTTTTGCAGTTGAAGAAGTATTGCAAGCCCCAAAGCCTAATTCTTTCTTTTTACTTCTGTATGCTTTTGTTTTGCTTGAAACATTATTTGCTCTCGTTAAATGCCGAAAAAGCGGGACAGTGGGGTTTCTGGTGTCGAAATTTGCCCAACTGTGAAAATTAGTAGAAGAATCTTCTTTCATGCATTTAAGACCTAAAATATCTTCAGTGTTAGCTCTGTGGAGCTGAAAATTTTCAGATTTAGTTTTTGGTATATTTTTCTTCACTTTGAAAGGGGTTGTACTAACTCTATTGTATTCACTAAACTTTGATCCCAGACTTGGGGCACTATGGCTATGTGGGAATTTATGGGCAGAATTAGGGTCAACATTCTGAGACATGGTCCACAGTTTGTTGGAGTCTGCACTAGACGCAGTTGTGGTTGAAATTGTATTGGTAAGTGGCGCCACCACTGTTGCACTCTGTGACCCCATCCCAGAGTCCTCGGACTGACTTGGTGCTCTGTATGTTGCAGGAGCCGAGTCACTTTTCCTGATTTTCTCAGCATTTAAGCATGTGGTAGAAAGTTTACTTAAGCTGGTGGAGACAGAGTCACTGTCGTCAACCTAGGACCAAACAGGAGAGAAATACATGTAACAGAAAAGGGTGAAAAGAATAAAAAAACTGAAACAAAACAGACATGTGACTCATATGTGACATGAGAAATGAAATGAGGAACTGATTGTGATTTATGCATTAATAATGTAAGTGACTTATAGAAGATGCTCAGACTGGTATCTAGTTAATTTCATCTTGAATTGAGACTTACTCTTTGCTTTTATATCAAATAATTTGAATACATCATTGAAAGAATATAATTCTATGTGAAATTTAAATAACAAGGCAAAGTTATGGATCCAATATGATTCCTTAATATTCAAATTGATCTACACAGCTGAAAAAAAAAGTATCAGAAGTAAAAAAAAAATATCATTTTTAATAATGACTTTCTTCCTTGTTGCTGGCCCTGTAAATAACAGCATTAATTGTTTTTAGGTAAATATACAATTCTCAAATAAATAAATAAATAAATACCAGGAAAATGTATGAATAAAAACTGCTCCTTTTCTTTCATTTTGAACGAGATATCACTATCACAATCTTGGTTCTTGATCAATAACTTAGAGCTTGATGTATAATCTATTCCTTAATATCAAATTAAATCCTCTCTGCTTGTTGATAAGGAAAGTTTGAAGATGCATTCAATGTCATACTGCTTCAACTTAAGTCAATAATTATCCAACACAAATTATCAGATACGTTATCACAAACTGCTTTAGAAGAAGTTGTGGAAGTGCTGTGACATCTTTCAAACCTATTTCTGATTTGACTCGATAGGGGTCTGAAAACAACCAGCTTTCACAAGTCAATCATGTAGTTATCTTCTATTTGCTCACCTGTTTATCAGAAGCGACAGTCATCTTCGCCAGGAGATCAATGGTATGCTGAGGGGTCATGGGAACTGCATGGCTGGAATCACGTGGCTGGACGATACTGGAATGACAAATATTATACTTTATAGAGAGCATTCACAACAAAGTGGACCTGCGGGCTAAATAGTGTGCGTATCAAATATGGCACACACTTGATAATGGATTCCTGCCTCCATCCCAGCAGGGGCAGAGCAATCTTGGGATGCTTTCTAGTGGGTGGTGCCATATTTGATCAGCCAATCTGTTAGTCCACAGATCAAGTTGTTCTAAATGCGCCCATAATTTCAGTGTTTACTCATTTTGCTATCATATCCATGTATAAAACTGTGTCTCTTCAGAAGAAGGGCAAACTGGGTGACAAATGTATAGGTTCATGAAATGGAACTGTAACCTATTCTTTTTTTGGGTTCTTTAGTTCACTTTAAAAAATATCAAGAGCAACCCTTCAAAATAATATCACAACTGGTTTTAGAAAATATCATACACAACCTAAAATACATGCAAGACAATTTATATAATATATGGATTCTAGTTCTGAGAAGTTAAAATAAAGAGACACCTACACATAGTGACTGAATTGATCTCAGTAAGTATAGTGCTTGAGCAGTTCTTCTTTTAAACAGAATGGATTATGTGTAGAGAAGTAAGAATTTGGAATTTACATCATAGCATTGTCCCTTTTTGAAACTGGACTGCCAGTTCTGAAACCAAAATCTGTATCACTAATCAATTCAGGAACTAGCTCCTTAAAGGCTTTAAGAATTTCCGTTACCGAAATCAAAGTGCCTACAGGTAAACATGTGTTCACAGTATCATAACAGGGGGTACCTGTTGCCCTTTGTCACCTGTTTACATTGTTGAACAAAAGAAAGCACACTCAGCAATTCAACGCCATGAAAAGTATTGGCTTGTGATGTGGTTGTTCTGTTGTTTACGTACTCCACATTGTAACAGCCAAGGTCCACAATCACCTACATCTTACACCATAATAACTTTCCACCTGGCTACTGACTGGGAGGAATTCAGTTTGATGCCCCGTTACATGAAGCTGGTCTTTAGAATAGTAATCAATTGGTCAGATTTCAAAAGCAATACCGTTTGGAATAAATCACGTATTAAGTAAATAAGTGTATTGTGTAAAGTATGATCCAGTGTAACTCTTTGTTTACTTCTGTACTTTGAAACAAGAAATATTTTGGAAGTATTTTGTTTATGTTAAAAACACCAGTGTGGTGTACTGTATCACATACATACAGTATTCAAGGGGAAGTGGACAACATGAATTTTGAATTTTTAATAACCATGAAAAAGGGATGGCTCTTTGGCAGGGCTATTCTCAGGACTGGGGGGTACAGTCCATCCAAAATTACCACCCTGTAATTTCCTACAAAATTGCAGGGAGTTAAAGTATGCCTAAAGCTGTCATATTTCCAAGTTGGATCGATCTATGTTGGATCGATCTATGTAGCTTTAGTGGAAATGAGCCCAAAGAATGAGCTGAATACTGATGGGGGCACTTATCAATTGACCACTATGGACTACTAGTATACTCTTTGCCAGACGCCACCTGCATAATGACATTATTTCTGAGCAAAAATTCAGTGCACAGAATAAAGCAGAAAAATATGTCTGAATGTATATAATGTTTAATCTCTGTGCAACCCTGCGTAAGGGTACTTGAACCACTTGAAACAAATGTATCACTAAAATACATTAAGAGCTGTTGCTATGGGCTTACTAATCGCGTCTATCATGGTTACAGCACATTATCCATTCAAACCCCTTTATTTATCTGTACAATAGATCTTTTAATCCTTTTTTAAAAACTTTTTACAAACATGTTTTGTATGCTAAAAATATCAAAATGTAATGTGTAAATACTACCCATTTGAACCCACTCAAAAAAGCCTTAAACATTTACTGTTATACAAAATTTGCGGCTTAAACTCAATTATTGAAATGTCATGATGGCAGGTGTCTTATTTTTTATCCTCATAACAAATAAATAATGCTGCCAGTAACTAAAACAATGACCTTATATTTAAGTGACTTTCATTTATCATTTATCTAGGCTAGTATACTAGTATTAATAGAAAATTTCTCTAACAAAATCCAGGTTTGAGGGTAAACTAAAAAATATGCTTCTTTGGATATAATTTTTGCTGCCCTCTCTGAATTGAGAACCAACCAAACTATAGTAACTTTGTCTGGTGGGTTCAAGAGTTAATTAACTATGTACAAGTTGTATGATACAACTCAAACTTCAAACTCCAAATTCACCTGATATGCTCTAATGGCAATTTAATTCTCAGTTTGGTAGACAAAGTTCATATTTGAAAAAGCAAATATTTAATAGGAGGAATTTAAATAAAGTTAAGTTCCTCAGTATAATGAAATTTTGTTAAGTTCCAATCTTTCTAGAAAGAAGTTATAAATATTTTTAGATACTACACAATATCTGATATATGTAGGTCATACAATTCTTTATTTATGTTTTAAAACATTTTCACCAAATGGCCATCGACTTCAAAAATAACTGGACAAGCAAGACTGTAGAACAGCTGCCATTTGCTAACACAGAGCAGGTTGGTGGTACTAGTTATCATTTTACATACAAAGTGTTGAAGTATAGTAATACTAATACTAGTACATATTACTCTGTGGTTATTCTTCTCCCTTCCCTTTCCATCCCCCTGCAAATGGCCCCAGCACAACTGTGGTTTTGAAAGTGAAAAGTCACCCAGACACTAGTATAGTAAGCATACTGCTGTCATGATCTTAACAGGTAAATTAATACATCGTTTAACAGAAAAAACTCTGCAGTATGTCAAATACTGGTAGTATAAATGCCTCACAGTGAGCAAATGTCTAAGATGGCCAGAGGGCTTTCGATAACACTCAAACAGATTTAAATCTTTAGAAATTTTACAGAAGAAAGATCAAAGTTAAGCCATTAAAAGAGACTTGTGGATTTTCCTGTACTCTTACTAGTAAAGAAACTGATTTTGCAGGTGGGAGATGAAGAGGTAACGTCTGACTAAAGCTTGTCATTTATGCTTAAGACAAATATTAACTTAAGATGGGAATAAAAGAGAGCAAAAGAAGTGTATTCTTGATCTTAAAATAAATGTGGTCTTACGTGTTAAAGGTTTTTGCTGTAACAACAGGGCTGTGTTCACGAGTTCACTATGTATACAACAGCCACGAGAGTGTCTTAATGCTAAACTGCTCCACAAATACAGAAACCATTTAATCCCTGGGAGATTGTTTTCCATGTTGTTCTACCTCAGCAGAGTGAGACTCCCTTCAAAAACATGTATTTGTGAGAAGCACCATACCAAAAAAATCTGTTCACTGGGCTCTAACATGTGCACTAGTAAGAATTTTAGCCATAATATATGGGAAAATAAATGAGGCCATTTTACTGAGCACCAGCATATCCCATTTCCATTTCAATTGTAAATATAGGTTATTTCACTGACCATGACATCTGTATTTAGGGAAAACTTTAACAGCCATTCACAAGATCTGTAAGTCTCCATCTAACAACCTTAGTTTAAGTGTAGTTTGCAAGTAAATTCTCACTGATAAAATTTCAACAGGTCTGAAGCTTTTTATAACCTAAATTGCCAGCAGCCAGAGGGGGGAGGTTAATATTTTTATGTCAGCAAGAATTTTCCATTTGCAGGGAGGTCTGCCCCAAACTTAATGCAATTTCTCAGGTTAGGTCAACTAGGGGTAAAAAGGTCTACTTTTTCAGACTCCCGCACCCCCCCCCCCCCCATCCTCTTTGAAATGGCTGCGTACAGGTCAAAGCTTTCATAACATGACTGTCCTCAGTCAAACAGTGTTCATTAGACTGTAGG